ATATGAGAGTGGAATAGAAAACCCAGGCCCAGAAGTACAGGTCCAGGAACAAAAAGGGGCAGGTGCTGCAGCCAGCCTTGAGGTCAGGAGAGAAGCGACCTGGTCAGCCCAGCAGAAACAGCTCACCTGGAGCCATGGTGATAATGCCTGCTTCACAGGGTTTCAGGAGGGTTGAAATCAAGGTAATTAACATGTAAGTGTTCTGAAATGTAATATGAAAGACTGGTTTTCAGTATGTTGATTATGGTGTTACGGAACTTTTGTCAGACACTTCCTTGTAGGCCCATTTTATAAAGCAGGAAAAAAATGGAGCTGCCAGAGGTGAGATGAGGGTGTGGTGGCCTAGAGCCTCACTTGCAGCCTTTCTTTACCCTCTGCAGTCTCCTCGGAGGACTGTACTCAGGGGAGTTTAAGGTGAAACCTGGGGGTCTCGGGGAGCCCGGCACTGCCCCCCAGTGGGCCCTGGGCCCCAAACAAGTAATTTACACATTTTGGACCCCAGTTTGCTTTTCCACCAAGTGGACAGACAAGTCAGATAGATCAAAGGATTCTTCACTTAGTTCCTACAGACAGGGGCTTCAGAAATCTTTGACATCTTTGAGACAGGCAGTATTTTGTGCTTTTTTTCCTGGAGAGACATGACATAGTTTTGTTTCGTCAACTTCTTAGAAGGGTCATGTTTGCTCAAACATGAAGGAGTGCTGTATTGATTTCTCAGGCCCCTTCCTGTGCTGTTAGTTTGTTGTAAGCGACAGAACCTCCCCAAGTCAAATTGACTTAAACTGCAAAGGGAAGTTAATGGTTCAGGGACCTGAAAAATCCCAGAGCTGGCCCAACTGGAGTCAGTACTCAGGTATTCTCATTAGGAATTTACCCCTCTTTATTTCCGGACTCTGCCTTTCTCAGGTTTAACTTCATTCTTGGCCCCTTCCTCCTGCCCCGCCTCTGCTCACCCTGAGGTGGCAAAGAAGTCCTCAGCAGTCCTCCTGCCTTACCGCCCATCTGTTTCCCCCCAGAAATTGCAGCAAAATGTGCAGGGCCCACTCTCATTGGCCATGCTTGGATCACGTGTCTCTCCCAGAGCCAATCCCTATGGCTGAGGGAGGAGACATTCGGGTCAGGGCGCCTCTCCCTCTTCCATTCTCTCATGGGATTCTGTTCTTGCTGTAAACCTGTAGGAAGTGAAGTGCTCGGCCTGTGTGTCACCTGTGTGATGAATGGGTCATGGCCATGCGTGTGCTGGCATTGTGGAAGCAAACCGAAGGGCATCATCCCTTCCCAGGTGGTAGAAAGTGGGGCCCTGGGATACACAGGCTGGATTCCCGGATCTGTAGGCCTCCTTTGCTGCCGTTTCCACGGCTCTTTGGCATCTTCCTCTCTCCTGCATGAGGGACTGCGGGACGACGGGCATCCACAGCTCCCTCTAGTCGGCAGGAAGTAGGTTCCTGGCTGAGAGAGACTTGGCGCCACAGCACATAGCTGGTGATCAGCCTTTATAGAGCCATATGCATCACTTTAGAGAAAGAAAGGAGAAAAATTAGAGTGGCGGGAAAGCAATTTCCGTTGCAATTTAAAAGGCGGCTATTAAAATTTTACAAGAGCTTTATTGCAGGGGTTTTCTGATCATCCCAGGAATTTTTAAAATGGGAAGTCTAGTGATAAAGGAAAATGTTCTGGGTGCGTCTGGTTCCCTCCTGCCCTGCCAAGCATCTTGAAAACCACCATTGTGAGGGCTTCCTAGACCAGCTTAGCAATAGCAACGGCCCAAGAGGCCATTTCTGAGTGTTTTAAAAGCGGGTTTTTCCATATTTGCTGTTTCTATGTATAGTGACTGTTTCTAATTTTATTTTGTACTTTGCTAAATGGCCTGGTAGGGAGCTATGGGAATCGTCAAGAACAGCAGTTGCCTCTGCCCTTCCTGTGTTAGTTCAGAGTCATTTGGTTGTGTGAACAAATAGAAATTCAGGTCAGCCTGCTGAAGTATAAAAGGAAGTGGATGGACACAGGGCCTGGGAGATTCGGCTTGGAATGGTTTCAGGCATGGCTGGATCCAGGGCCTCATGAGGTTGCCAGGACATGTTTCCTTTTACCTCCTGGCTCTGCATTCTTCTGTGCTGATTTTATTCTCAGGTAGGCTCTGAAGCAGCCCCTAACAGTTCCACAAGTAGATTCAACCAGCTTAGCAGCTCCAAGGGAAATAAACCATTTCTTTCCCCCATAATCCCAGCATATATCATGGGGCTGGTGTTTACTGGCTCTGATCATCCTGGCTTTGGTGGCAGGGTCACCCTGGGCCATCGCTGAAGCTGGAACAGGGAAGGTGGTGCAGTGGCTTTTTGGCCAGACCTGGATCACATGACCAGTCCCACCCCCCACCCACAACCCATGGGTGGGGTCAGTCCCATAGGACTGAGTGGGAAAGGTGAGGTTCAAGGGGTTGACTGAGGAAAAGAAGTGGATGCAGGGTGGGCCAAAGCAGCCGACACCTGGAACCCCTTCCCATACTAACTTCACGAAGCTGAATCTGCCCCACACTCCCCAGTTTTTCTTTTCCCTTGGAACCTGCTCTGCCTTTACCCACTCTCAGATCTCCTTGAGGGGTTCTTAATCTCGGGTCCAGGGACCTTTGAGGGGTGGAAGTTTAGTGGGTCACGAGGTTGGCTGGGAAAAACATTACATCTCTATTTTCACTACCCTCTAACTGAAATTAACATTTTTTTATGCACAGGGCAATACACCACAATTGGATTAGCAGTATCTGTGACTTTGTTACTACTAGACATCACAGATGTTCCCATATCACATTACAGTGTTGCAAATATCACAAAATATCATTTAAACACCTACCTATTTCTAAATCACTGTAGTTATTGGATTCACTACTAGATCTTGTAATATAAAAGCATTAATAGGCCAGACGTGGTGGTTCACACCTGTAATCCTAGCACTGTGGGAGGCCAACATGGGCGGATTGCTTGATCCCAAGAGTTTGAGACCAGCCTAGCCAATGTGGCAAAACCCCATCTCTACTAAAAATACAAAAATTACCTGGGGCGGTGGTGTGCGCCTGTAAACCCTGCTACTCAGGAGGCTGAAGCAGAATTGCTTGAGCCTGGGAGGCAGAGGTTGCAGTGAGCCAAGATGGCGCCCCTGCACTCCAGCCTGGGCAATAGATGAAGACTCCATCTCGAAAAAAAAGAAATTATTCTGAGGAGTCTGCAACTAATTCACCAAGCTGCCAGTAGAGTCCCTGGCATGAGAAAGGTTAAGAACCCCCTTGGGCTTCTCCAGGAACCCCAGGGGAATGATCATTGAAGTTGTCCCGATTCCTGAACCCTGGAGTATTGACTAGCTGCTCGCTAGGCTTCCTTCCTGGGAGGATTCTTGGAGGAGCTGACCCGCCTTTGAGGTTGGCGTGGATATTTGGGTAGCATTTGGATATTATGGTATTGGGGAAGTGGGGCAGGGAGGTGTTGCCAGCCCACAGTTGGCCCTGCCTTCATTAACCATCGTGACAGTGTGCTCTAGCCAGGTGGTCAGAAACAGGCTCTGGGACCAGGTTGCTGGGTTCACATCCTGGCTGTATATAGTACACTTTTTTTTTTTTTTTTAAAAGAGAGACAGGGTCTTGCTGTATTGCCCAGGCTGGTCTTGAACTTGTGAGCTCAAATAATCCTCCTATCTCAGCCTCTTGAGTAGCTGGGACTATAGGCAGGTATCACTGTGCCTAGCTTAGTATACTTTTGACTGACTGGGCAACCTCAGCTAGTGGATCTCTTATGAATTCTGTGCCTCAGTTTCCTCATCTGTAACTTGGAAGTAATAATAGGATCTTCTTGGATGATGGGGAGAGTGAAATGAGTCAGCGCACGTCTGCTAGGACAGAGCCGGCACATTGGGAGGGATTGTTGTTAGTGAATGGCCATTGCAGGTAGGACAGCTCTAGGCCCTCTCAGATCTCATCTCCTGACTCAGTGCCCAGCCTCTGCCGGTGCCCAGAATGTGATGCTGAACAATACAGACAGTGCCTTCTCCGCCTGGAGACGTTCATTCATCCATGGAATATTCACTTAAATATAAACAAGCATACTACATATTCAAAGGCATAAATTCATAATATAAAGTTCCAAACCAGGACAAGTGCGATTTCCCTGTCATTCCTCTGCTCACAGTTGTCTGAGGAAATGTCCTTAGAATAGTCCTCCATCTGTCCCCTCCACCACTGCTCACCCCTCATGCACCCCGTGCCAGCTCCACGGGCCTCCTGGCTGCTCCTGAGATGCTCCACATCTGCTCCCGCCTCTGGAAGCCTCTTTCCCAGGTAGTCACACGGTCTGTGGTCTCATGTATTCACATCTCTGTCCCCTAGTCCAGGAGGCCTTCTCCGAGCTCTCCGTGTAAGGTCGCAGTCCCATCACTATGGCGTCGCCCCGCTAGGTTTCATCAAGGCTCCACTCCCTGACTTTGTGTTATGTATTTGTTACTGTCCTCCTCCCCTACTAGACTGTCTGCTCCCTGAGGACAGCCACTTTGTCTTGGAGAACCCTGGTTGTATTCCCGGTGCCTGGCACGTAGCAGGTGTTCAGTAAATACTTTTTTTTCTTTTTTCTTTCTTTTTTTTTTTTGAGACAGAGTCTTGCTGGAGCAAGGCTGGAGTGCAGTGGCACAGTCTCGGCTCACTGTAACCTTCCTCTCCCAGGTTCAAGTGATTCTCCTGCCTCAGCCTCCCAAGTACCTGGGATGACAGGTGTCCACCGCCATGCCCGGCTATTTTTTGTATTTTTAGTAGAGATGGGGTTTTGCCACATTGGCCAGGCTGGTCTTGAACTCCTGGCCTCAAGTGATCCACCCGCCTCGGCCTCCCAGAGTGCTGGGATTACACTCAACCATGTTCAGTAAATACTTGTTGAAAGAGTGAGTATGTGATTGACAGCTGGGTATTGCAGCAGGAAGGCTTAAATTGGCCAGAGACCTAACCTCTTCTTTTTCCTTCCATGTAGATGCACAGTCTCTGATGTTGGCTCTCCTGGGACCATCTAAGAGTTGTAGTGTCTAGAAAGTACTAACGGTGAGTACGGTGTGGCTGCTGGTTTGCTTAGAACTTTACAGCTCATACACATAAGCATCTTTATTATTTTTTTTAAATTACAAAAAAAAAAGTATCAAGGGAAAAATGAAAGTTTGCTTCACTGTTCTTCCCATCACCCGCAAGCCTAACATCTATCCCAGAGGTAATTACTGTCAGTCACTGGCTGGGTGCCCTGCCAGACCTTTTCCTGCACACAAACTTTCCTACGTGCACATATACACACTTACTTTGGTTCGCTGTATAAGAAAAAGGAACCATACTATGTGGTGCTTCTTGGCTTGCTTCCACCATCCCCAATAATAGTATGTTTTGAAGATCTTTGCTCATGAGCGTACCTCAGTGTATCATACATTTCATATACTTTTATTTTTTTCTTTACTTTTTCATTCAATTTTTAAACCTTACGTAGAGTAAAACTCTCTCTTTGGTATACAGTTCTTTGTTTCATTTTGTTTTGTTTTGTTTTGTTTTGTTTTGAGATGGAGTTTCGCTTTTGTTGTCCAGGCTGGATTGCAACGGCGCGATCTTGGCTCACTGCAACCTCTGCCTCCTGGGTTCAAGCGATTCTTCTGCCTCAGCCTCCCGAGTAGCTAGGACTACAGACATGCGCCACGATGCCCGGCTCATTTTGTATTTTTAGTAGATATGGGGTTTCTCCATGTTGGTCAGGCTGGTTTCGAACTCCCGACCTCAGGTGATCCGCCTGCCTCAGCCTCGATTTTTTTTTTTTTTTTTTTTTTTTTTGAGGTGGAGTCTCACTCTGTCACCCACACTGGAGTGCAATGGCGCCATCTCAGCTCACTGCAATCTCCGCCTCCCAGGTTCAAGTGATTCTCCCGCCTCAGCCTCTCGAGTAGCTGGGATTACAGGTACCCGCCATCATGCCTGACTAATTTTTGTATTTTTTGTAGAGATGGGGTTTCACCATGTTAGCCAGGTTGGTCTTGAACTCCTGACCTCAGATGATGCACCTGCCTCAGCCTCCCAAAATGCTGGAATTACAGGCGTGAGCCCCAGCGCCTGGCCGGTATACAGTTCTTTGAATACAGACAGATGTAGACAGTTGTGAAACTGCCACCATGATCAAGATTCAGAGCAGCCCCGCCGCCCCACGATGTGAATGTACTGGCTTCTCTGTTGGTTAAAAATATGAGCCACGTGTGGTGGCTCATACCTGTAACCCCAGCACTTTGAGAGGATGGGGCCGGAGGATTGATTGAGCCCAGGTGCTCGAGACCAGCCTGGGCAACTTAGTGAGACCCTGTCTCTACAAAAAATACAAAAATTAGCTGGGCGTGGTGGCGCACACTTGCAGTTCCAGCTACACCGGGGCTAAAGTGGAAGGGTCACCTGAACCAGTGGAGGTCAAGGCTGCTGCAAGACCCTGTCTCAAAAAAAACTAAAAATTAAAATAAATAAATACATACACACATGTATATGGCATGGGTAATGGGTATTTACACATATTTAAAATATATACATATGGCAAATACTTACCTGTGCTGTATAGGTTTCAAATATGTTATATTTAGGTTTTTGGGTTGGGTTTGGGTTGGTTTGCTAGTGAACATTCTCTTTTGTTTCTGTGGGTGGGTTCTAAGCAGTGGCGTGGGACCCCAGCTGCATGTCATTCCAGTTTGCAGTGAAGCCTTCCAGGACGATCCCCAGCTTTGTTGGGAGGGGGCATTGTCTGATCCTTGAAGAAACAAGAGACCATACCAGTGTGGGAAGTGGAAAGGGGAGGTTTGTGGCCTTCAGAACCTGGATGCAGGTAGCTGTGTCAGCCGATCTGCGGGAACTGAGTGGCTCTGGATGGAGTTTCTCTCTCCTGGATATTTAGTGGTTCCGTCACATTCCCTCATCCTGGCAGTCTTGCCTGGGTAACTGAAGCTGGTGTGTGGGACAGTCACTAGAGGCCAGATATCTGTCAAAGGATGCTTCCTAGCACAGTTCTTGATTACTTTTATTTTGAAGTGATTTCAGAATTATTAAAAAGTTGTGAAAATGATTACAGAGTCCACATGTCTACCCTACATCCAGCTTCCCCTATGTTACCATCTTATACAACTGTAATACAGTGATCAAAACTAGGAAATTCACATAGCCCAGTACGATTAACTCAATGACAGACATTAATCACATTTCACCAGTTTTTCCACTGATGTCCTTTTTTCTTCCAAGAGTCTATTCTTGATCCCACACTGCATTTGGTTTTCATGTCTCCTTAACCTCCTCCGATCTGGAACAATTCCTCCATCTTTCCTAGCCTTTCCTGACCTGGACATTTTGGAAGAGGACGGCTCTGCTATTTTGTTGTGTGTTTCAACTTGGGTTTTTCTGATGTTTTCTCATGACCTCATTGAGGTTATTCATTATTTAGAACAATGCCACACAGGCAGCATGCCCTCCTCAGTGCGTCTTTGTGGGGGTCTATGATATTAGTGCGTCGTATTTCTGGTAATGTTCACCTAGATCACTTGGTTAAGCTGCTGTGTGTCAGATTTCTCCACACTAAAGTTACACTTTTCCCTTTGTAATTAATAGCTATCTTGGGGCACTCCAGGCCAGGAGTTTGAATCCAGCTAGCTCTAAAAAAATAAAATAAAAACAAATTAGCCAAGTGTGGTGGTGCACACCTGTAGTCCTAGCTACTCAGGAGGTTGAGGCAGGAGGATCCCTTGAGCCCAGGAGGCAGAGATTGCTGTGAGCTGAGATTGTGCCACTGTACTCAGCCTGGGTATCAAGACCTGGTAGCAAGACCTGGGTAGCAAGAGCAAGACCCTGTCTCTTTAAAAAAACAAAACAAAACCAAAAAATGCTACCTTTGGGGAGAAACTTTGAGGCTATGCTAATATCCCACATCCCGTTTTTCCTCAAACTTCCTCCCACTAATTTTAGCATCCATTGGTGGCCAAGGTCTTGTCTACAGCAGTTATTGCTGTGCTGTTTCCCTCATGGCAGTTTTTGTGTGCCTCTCATTCCATCTACATTTATTAATTGGAATTCTTCTGTAAGGAAGACCTGTCCCTTCTGCCTTACTTATTTCTTTATTTAGTTACTAATTTATATCCTATAAGCTATATTTGTTTTAATCTAGCACATTGCTTTTTAATGTGATAAAAGGCCCCAAATCCCAAGTAAATTCCGAGCATTGCCTCACACAGCAGGAAGACCGGCATTTTTCCTAGCTGGTAACCAGGGCCTTAGGGAACTTGGAAAGAACAAGAACAGGTTTCATTTGTTCATTCATTTTCCTTCACTCAGCAAATGTGCATTTGAGCACCTACTAGAAGCACTAGGGATTCAGGAATGAACAAAACAAACTCCTTACCTTAAGGGAACGGACATCCTACTGGAGAGTAACACAGTAAACAGATAAAAAGTGAATATAGGGCTGGGCACGGTGGCTCACACCTGTAATCCCATCACCTTCACGAGGCTGAGGTGGGCTGATCACTTGAGGTCAGGAGTTCGAGACCAGCCTGGCCAATATGGTGAAACCCCGTCTCTACTAAAAATACAAAAAAAAATTAGCCAGCCATGGTGGCACACAACTGTAATCCCAGCTACTCAGGAGGCTGAGGTGGGAGGATCGCTTGAACCCAGAGGCAGAGGTGGCAGTGAACCAAGGTTGTGCCACTGCAATCCAACCTAGGTGACAGAGCAAGACAGGGTCTCAAAAAAAAAGAAAAAGAAAAGGTGAATATAGGATAAGTTAGATGTATATAGTGTATATAGGATGTATATAGGAGTATATAGTGATGAATAAAGCAGGGAAGGAGCTTGGCCTCACAGGGCAATTTTTAGACAAGGTGACCAAGGAAGGCCTCTTTGAGGAGGCCCTGAATAGAGGAGGGAGTGAGGCGGTCGCCGGCCTGATTCATCCACAGCCAGCTGGGAGATTGCAGTCAAATCATCTCCCTTCTGAACAGTTTCTGTGAACAGGAAATGTGTTCCCTCTCCGAGGGGCAGCCCTGCTCAGTGGGGGCCAGTCTTATTCCCGAGTATTGCCAGATCTGATGTTCCCCCCAATAGGAAAGGAAAGTGAAGAATTTTTTGCCAGTCCATTAAACTCAAATTATGCAACATCAGATAATGAATATGACTCTATTTTGTTTTCATTGTGTTTGTTTTTTAAGTTTCCTTTTCTTTGTAGCAAGAGATAGCAATTTTTCATTTTTAGTGGTGATAGAGATTCTTTTAAAATACATAAAGCTTGAACGTCACTTCAGGGTGCGTGCAGTGGCTCACCCTATAATCCCAGCTCTTCGGGAGGTCAAGGCAGGAGAATCGCTTGAGGCCAGGAGTTTAAGACCAACCTGGGCAGCAGAGTGAGACTCTATCTCTACAAAAAATGTTCAAAGTAGCCAGGCGTGGTGGCATGCACCTGTGGTCCCAGGTACTCGGACAGCTATGGCAGGAGGATCACTTGCGCCCAGGAGGTTGAGGCCACGCTACTGTACTCCAGCCCCGGGCAATAGAGCAAGAGAGATACGTGTGTGTGTGTGTAAATAATTGTACAGATGGGGAGCAGATACAGCTGAAAAGGAAGGGTGGAACACAGCGACTGGGCTTGGTAAGCACTGTATGGCTCAGCCACCCACTGTTTTTCCTCTGGGTCAGGGGTTCTCAGCAGTGGGCCTGAGCTGAAATTGGCAAACAATTACGTGTGCCTTGAGCCATTTGCATCATGGCGTGTGCATCGGCCAGGAATGTCTTCAAGTTTCAGGAACAGAAACCGCCACTCACCACAGCTTGATTGAATGGGGGCTGATTTCTTGCCCACTACAAGCACACCTGGAGGTGCTTGGCTGCCAGTGTTAGTTTGGTGGCTGGGCAGTGTCAGGGCAGAGCCGCTTTGATTCTCTGGGCCTTTCCTCTCATGGACATAGTTGCTGCTGCCGTGTCGCGTAGCCTCCCCTACCTTCCAAGGAAAGTGGCAAATGTTATTTAACTTTTCAGCCTTTCCTGAGGAGGAA